GGATAAAGGGCCCATACTAAGGGCCTGTAACTGTAGTTCCACCATTAGATCATTGAACGTCCAAACTCAAGACTGTCAACATCCCTCAGCCCAACAGCCCTGAACCCTGCAACGGCGCGCCGCCTAGGTACTGAGAAACACTAAACCCTATTATCATAAGGTTCTCAAGTGGTAGCCCTTGGAATGGCTTCCTAGCCTTGAACCCTGCATAGGAGCAGTTTTGAAAATATTTGTTAGGCTTCATGACCCTGGATCCCTACATGACTCTTGTAGAAGCGCAGACCCGTAAAAAAAACTTGTTGTAGGCCCCAAAGGCCTACCCCAGTACTCCCAAGGTCACACTTCTAAGACCCTGTGGACCCTGCACCATAAAACCTGAACCCAAGACCCCAAATCCTAGGGTTTGGGGTATAGGGTATAGGGTTTAGAACCTAGAACCTAGAACCCTTTGACCCTCTCATGGTCCCTAGGTATTCCTAACATCTGGCAGTTTTCGCGTGAGGCCTCCGCTCGCTTGCCGGCTGAGTTGATGACGTTGGCTTCAGCAATAGCCTGAGCTGGAGCCGAATGAGCTATAAGGGTTTATAAGGGTTTAGGGTCTAAACTCCTTAAAGGGGGTTATATAGGGGCCGCTGCAGGGGTTAGCAAGAGGGATACCAGGAATTTAGGCTATAGCTCCTACCTGTGACTCGCAAACCCCATTAAACGAGAGGGCGGTAAAAAAAAACCAGGTAATTGTGTTGCTAACCCCTAGAAAATAGGTCATTTGCCATCTAACCCGCTAACTGGTGTCTGACTTACTTATTAAGCCCTGCGGTCCTCTACTCCCAACATTCGGACAAGGGTAGTCCCCTAACTGATTAGGGTTTACTTTGGATATAGAGGACTTTATGAGGGTTGTTTGGGTAATGCCCCACAAAGTATCCCCAGCCTGCCAGGATGGAAGCCGCACCAACTTGCTTTGAAGATCGCCGGCTCATTAAGAAGCTTAGTCACGGTCATTTATATATCTCTGTATGTTTTATAGTTTTGGGGTCTTATAAGCTGAGGTTCCAATGTTCAGATCGATCCTTAAGTGGGGAATGCTCCAAAGGGGGTCGTATACGATAGGTAACTGGATGCACAGAAATCTCCCCACGCCTAGGGAACAGGCATGGGGCTCCAGAACCATGCGCCGTGTAGTGGTTGCTAGCGATCAAATTATGTGGTTTCACCTGCATGGTGAGCGCTTTTTCGCGCTCTTCCAAAGTCGAGCCGGAATCTCAGCAGCAAGGGCAGCCTGCAAGGAGACACATAGGAAATATTGGTGGGCTTGAAGATGTCAGTGGCTGGTATCAATTGGTGTTGTGTGATGAGCTTGGGCTGTTCGCATTTGACAGGTTTGCTGCTTGCCAGGCTCAAGGTGCGGGCACACGTACTGAGCTTTGATTCAAGCACTGTAGGGTAGTCTACTCTGGCGGCGATGCCTAGATGCAGCCTATCCTTGGAGGGGGTGGCCGAGGAATGGTCAATCTTGCCAGCTTTGATTTCGCGGCTAAATCAAACTCATCGCTTGATTGTGCCAATTGGCACCGGTGACCTCAACACGTGCAACGCGGATGTTGCGCACAACCATCTTACTTTGCGCCCCCTTCTTGAACGTATGGCCAACGAAGCTAGTTGGGAGCTCTTTAGCATGGTTGAGATCAAACACCAGTCCCTTGGCACCATCCATATAGGCAATCGTGTACTTCCATTTTCCGCCCTAGAGCCCATGCCAGGATTTAGCTACGCTTTATAGGTCGAGTCCGAAGGCTCAAATAGACTATTTGAACCAATCCAGCTACACAGATTACGTGTTGTTCGCGGGAATCGTATATATCTGAGGTTGCTGAAGCTGCACAGCGCTCTTGGCCTCAAAGTGAAGAAGGAGTATGTTCACTTGGATTGCTTGTGGGCAAAGGCATTCACTTCGTTTGTCAAGATGAAGGTCAGGAAAGGCTTGCCTTCCAGCGCAACTCGCCTAGCCAGATAAACCTACCTGTTTACAGGGGCAAAGCTTGGTTTAGCTCATCAAACTGCTGTAACTACATTGAAAAGGTTTCAGGGCCCATACACAAGAAAGATGTCCAAAATTCAACTAGGTAACTAAGGTGTTAAATCGTGTTGTGCGACAGGCTTTCGAAGATCTGAACCTTGTACGCAACCTCAAAGGAATGAAACCAGGGGAACCCTGAAAATACCCCTTAAGCTGTTAACTAGCTTAATCAACAATTTAGATGTGCTGGGGTTGTATACGCTTACGTATCTATGCCCAAAAGAAATCCATTTTTAACATTTGCCAGAACGAGACGTTCTTCTCCCTGCAGCGCATCCTCGACCCTTCCATGCCTCCACCCATGCGCCGGGGTCGCAGCGAAACTGACCTGCATAATATCGGTGTAATTCAAGTGGACATACTAGTGCCCCCAACTTAGGTCCGACTTTCTCCGGTTGGAGCTGTATCGAAACATTATAACGGCATTGTTTCTTCAAAATTAAACGGCTCCAACTAGCAACTATAAGTTCACCCAATCCTGCACGGGCATCGTGCGCTAGTTTGGTGTAGTCTTACACATCGCGTGTTTCCTATCTTCTACTAGGATGCTGGGGTTCACGGTATCGGGTGTAGGGTGTTTATAGGGTTTGGGTGCATGCTGTTTGAATGATGCGAGCCAGAATACGTTTTCTTTCATCTATCAGGAAGTGGAGATCCATGTGGCAGACGCCAATGGGAATGATGGACCTGATGCTGAGGATGAACCTCTTGCCCATGAGGGCCAGGAGGAAGCGCTGGATGAGGATGAGGATGATGCTCCAATATCCTTTGATGGGGATGCTTCTGACCATGAAGATGGCCTGGATGATCTTTCGCACGCTGGCAATGCTAGACGTGATGAGGATGAAGAGCTGATGGGCGGCGGTGGTTTGGGAGCTGTTCCAGAGCGGCCTCTTCCCGCAGTAGCAGGGGAAACTTGCCCGGGCGGCCCCGTTGTGAACATCAGTGACTCGCCCATTGCCCCATCCCCTATCCCTGTACCGGATGATCATGAAAACTCCGCGCGCATGGTCAAGAACCTCCAACGCCTTGAGAGGCTTAGGGAGTTGAGGGCCCAGATGCTTCAAACAACTGAAGAGATAGAGTTTCTTGGCTGACATGATAAAAATCTGCTCCGAATATTATGTAGGATCCTAGCTAGCAAAGGAATGCCCCCGCATCGAAACCATCCCAGGCGTGACTCCGCATCTCAGACTTCCCCTGGCGTTGCTGGAGGAAAAAGATTCTCGACTGAGTTCTATACAGATGGGGGCCCTGTGTATCAAGTACCATTCCAATATGTCAAAATGGACGGTGTAAGATTCAACTATCCATAAGACCGTATTACTCCATTTCATTTTCCACGTCTAGCATTCTGAAGTCATTCCTGCGCAAGATTTTGGGTTAGAAGTAGTGAGGCAGAAGAACTAATAAGTTCTATATGTGACATATAAGGTTGGAAGCACGCGTATGCCTTGGATATGGACGATACATTCGTGCCTACCGAGCACGATTCCCAGTTGGATCCATGCGCCCCAATCCCTGCGCCACCGGCCTCGGTCAAGAGGAAGCTCTTCGTAGAAGAGCCTGCGGAGGCGGACAGACAGGCACGGCCGGTCGCCACGCCTTTGGCAAACTTGAAGAAGCTTCTGGCAGAGAGTGCTGCAACCAAGAGAGCAGCTTTCCAGATGCGTGAGGCAAGGGCCAGCTCAGCAGGAGGAAGCACTTCTCCCCCTGTGGAGCGTGCATCTCAGAGCATGCTTGCGAAAGAGCCCTCGCCTGCGAAGCCGGAGCAGCGTCCACTTTGCAGGCGAGAAGCTGGGAGTGATGACGTGGCAAAGTCTTTGGATGACTTGAGCGCTAGCCCGCTCACCAGACGTGAGCAGCTGAAGCTTGTGAAGGAGGCTGAGCCAAAGGGCGCAGCCAAGCCTAAGGTCAAAGCCACGGCAAAAGCCACGGCAAAAGCCAAGGCAAAAGCCAAGGCAAAAGCCACGGCAAAAGGCAAGGCAAAAGCCAAGGCAAAGTCCATGGCCAAGGATGGGGCAGAGACCTCTGGAGCTACGAGGCTTGAGGAAGCCGAAGCTGAGGGTGGCTCCAATCCAAGCCCAGCTGGAAAGGCCAAGAGGGCGGCAGAGACCGAGAATGGGGCTGAGGCTTCGGAGAAGCCACCTGGGCCAGGCCAGGGTTCCCAGGCGTCCCTTGAGAAGCGGCCAGGTACCGAGACAAGGGAGAACCCGCCAGCCAAGAAGAAGAGAGGACCCAAGCCTAGGTCAACCGCGCAGACCCCTATCCCGAGTAAGATCGACAACATGGACCCAGCACAGGTCATGATCTACTTGCAGGGCGATGACCAGATCATGCGATTGGCGTTTGAGTTCATTCACGAGATGTCGCGGCCCGCTACCAGGTGCCGACCAAGCAGAATAAGATTGGGGTGCCAAGCTTTGAGCGTTGGCAGCTGAGCCCATACTGGACCAGATCTACATGTGGCCTGCTGCACAAGCATAAGGAGCCGCCGCACACGTATGTCGGCACCTTTACCTCAGGAGGCTCCGATAACATGTTGGTGGCCTTTGCAGCTGTGCGTTCGTTTGCTTCTCGGCGCGTGTGCTATGTAACCAACTACTATAGATACCCACTACCCTTGATTGCGTATTTGTCGTGCTCTGATTACGTACTTAATTGCTTGAGGACCCATGAGAACTATCAATTGCTTTTTTTTTTTTATGTTGACTGCTTTGGCCCTAGCAGACTGGAAAAAACAATATAGACCATGTTTAGGTTACGCGATAGGAGGTAGAAAGACAACACACAACTAACCCTCAGAAACGCAACGCTTGTATACAATATATGTTTATAGAAAGGGTTTAGGGTTGAGAGGGTTTTATAGGGTTTCCAGGCTTTATAGAGGGTTTATATATGTATATATACATATAGGGTTTATTTGGCTCAACCTTGCCTACTAGCCCTGACAAAACTTTGCGAATTTCATTTGTTGCCTTGGAATCCTTGGAAGTGTATTTACCGAAAACCAGCTTTGTAAAGAAAATCACCCCCACCATTAGCTGCGAATGGCGCGTGATGACAATGCCTGTGAATTTGGTTGGCCCCTTAACTTGTTAAGGCTGTATCTGTATATAATCCCATGTATACTCCTGTATCTGGACCCCCTATAGCGTCAAGCCTCGAAAAAGAACAGCTTAGTTGACCAGTGCTACAAGTTAGCCGTACAATAAATAACTGCTTGCAACCGGCCCCGAATCTTAGGTTGTGTCTATGGAGGATGATGATGGGAACCTTCGCTACAGCCTCGACTCTGCTGAAGCCGAGCGAGCGATGGACATGCTGAAGGATGGCGCTAAGTGTGCTTGGATCTTGAAACAGTTCCAGGATGCCGGAGGCAGCCTGGAGGATCTCTGAAGTGTGCGTTGCGCACGCAGCCCACTTTTGCCGAGCCTTCAGTGTGCCGGGATTGCCCAAAACAACTTCTAGCGCCTTCGTGAGTGCTTAATTTTTGTGCCGCTGAAGATTGCAGCTGGTTCATATGAATTCTAGCTAGGGGAACTTTATGTAGCCCAAGTTCACACTTCTGAGCATATAAGCCTATTGGTGTTCAGGTGGCAGCCTGGCATGCTGGAGGGATTGCTAGCAGCGGGCACGTTCATCTTAGATGCCCCAGGCGAGGTAGCGCTGTGTCATTGCAGCTTACTTTCAACTTTGCTGCGTCTAAAGGCGTGGCCGGGGATTGCTGTATACAGCCGGGCTAGGCTTGGGACTTGAAGTTCGCAACCGTTGCCAGCTTCGTTGAAGCTATCCAGAAATCCAGAGACGGGGTTCCGCGCTGAAAAGTTGTTCCAAATCATTCTGCCGAGACATGCTTGACATACCCAAAATGCCAGGCTATTGCTCAACATAAGTGTGGACACCAATACATTGCAATGTGTCCCTCATTGACGTACACGGGCCAATCCTTAACACCCAGAACCCATTTCCAATCCTGGAAGCTCATAATAAATTGCTGGCAGCTACTTCATTTTGTGTACAAGATTCACGGTCGAGCGACGCCCAGGTCAGCACCTCATGGGCGTGAAGCGCAAGGTGTGGGTCCTGAAGGCACACGAGGCCAAGCAGTCACGTAGAGAAGGTCTGCTCTGCCTGTTTACTAATTAAAGCTTTCAAGTGGCTGTGTGGAAGGCTTCATTCAGGCTGATTCAATTGAGTTTCCTGTAGAGTTTTATGATTCAGTCTTTAAAAAACGGAGCCCTGGGCCTCATCAGACACCCCCTGAAAATCCTTGGATGAAAGAGCGCTGAGAGTTCCTGTTTTTGAGTTTACCCACATACATGATAGCGCTTGCGAGTCCCTCATAGAAAGCTTATTAGAAGGATCGAGTAGGGTGGGAGGGCTTCGATCAATTTTGTAGGAGCTTGACTGCGGTCATGTCAATTGGTGCTTGGGGATATGTTGCATCTTGACTGAGCTGGACGCGATGTGTACTGCTGCTATCCTGCAGGGTCCGCAATTGCCATTGGCATCTGGTTAGTGGGTAGATATCGAGACCCTATCTAAAGAGCCGTTATACGGGTTTGCTAGCGACACAAAATTCGCAATGCTTGGTGTATGCAGTGTGACACTTTCTTACACTGATCTGATTCTGAATTTTGCTGCTATGGTGCGGAGTACGCGGTTGGGGCAGCTCATGTGGGCGCTACGGGAACTTCGTGCTCCCAAGGCTGGAACCGAACGCGGTCCTAGGTCGCATGCAAAGATCGAACCTGATTCTGCTGTAAACCCTATATATGAACCCTACATAGGCCCCCCTATATACATATATATTTAGATATATACATCTATATACATATATATACATATATATATATATACGCTATGTAAACCCTATATATATATATATAAATCCTATCTACGCTATACATATATTTATATATAAACCCTATCAACCCTGTGAACCCTGTTAACCCTGAACCGAATCTGGCCGGAAGGTCCTTCTCATGGCCATCCTGCTTCTAATCTGGAGTGGCAATGTGGAAACCTTGGACAAGGCACTTAATGGGGCTCATGCCTATGAATTGGGATGGGTCTCCTTTTTCAGGAAGGCTACTCCCACTTTATGTACATGTATGTGGACCTTATAAATGTAAGCATTCCTGACGTTTGGTAATCCTGATATGACATGGGTGGTTTTGTTGAGTCTTTCGTGTGGTGTTTATTTGCAGGCACAGGGGCAAAGGGGGGGTAGGGAGGAATCTAACCCACTAGATCATGTAATCCTTTCAATATTAGTCAGTCTTTTTCCTACCTGAACGTTCACGGGGAGAATGGTGTATCTATCCCTTCGGGGCCTTATATGCAAACTATGGAAAGCCGGGTAAGTAGATAGAATAGGAAGGAATCATGTATGTCCCTAGTACCCATTTCATTTGTTCGGCAGATCTACGGGGTCGTGGAATTCTATGCTGGCCTTGGGAACAACAGTCGGTGCGCAAAGCTGGCTGGAATACCTACTGCAAGCCTTGACTTGCTTTACCATACCCCGAGCCCGGACCTGCCCAAGCAAAACTACATGGACATTGTGACTGACGCTGGCCTTTCGTGGCTTGTTCATTGAAAGTCTTTTAAAGCCTGGCCTACACAAGAATTTGGATTGCCACTGTAGAATTGGACCTTGTAGTTAGAAAGCTGCAACACATAGGCAGTATATATATATATATACATATATATAGCCTAGATGTATATATGTATATAGCACCAGAATGGAAATAGTAGGTCCCAGCTTTCATAGGTAATCGCGCTTGTAACTAGAAGGTCCAAACATGTAGGCTTCCCCCAAAGGTGGCCCGATATGCACTAGCAACCTGTATAGGAAAAGAAGAGCGATGAACCTTCACCTTGCCTACAAAATCATGCGAAACAGTTCTTGCACCTTTTCCCTATAGCCCGAGAGGTCGTTGGTTGTTGTAGGAACTTATAAAGGGCTCTCCTATCCATCTTAGGTACCAACACGTTGTCTAGACACAAGGACTTTGTTCTGTAGTTGTTCTGTAGTTTGCATGCTGCACAGGGAACTGCATGGTCCATTATTGATATGGGATGGTTTTCTTTCGATGTGGGTCCTACCCTGTAACCAAACATTCTTTACGGCAAGGATCTGTTTTAGGAAAGACCCCTGAAGATCGGCTCCGCCCTCCCCCTAAAAATGCAGGACCCATGTAGAGTTATAACCTCTTATGCGGCCCCAATCTTTCTTGTTCGGGGGGCCTTCAACCACCATGCAAAACTCGCCTTGATTCAACGCAAAATGACTATAAAGCGCCCTTGCCTGTATGAAACGATATGAAACGCCATCCCCTGCTCTTGGCCATTACTGTATTTTCTTTACTGTCTTTCCGTATACTTTTACTCAATATTCACTAGCCAGTATAATTGCAGCAGGGGAAGACGTTTCACAGTAGCCTAGAGGGTCGGGACTCCTTTTCGTAAAGATCAAAAGTACCAAGATCGAACCACCTGTTCTTTTCTGTAGCTGTGTCTATGCAAAATGAGCTAATACACAGGCGGCCAAGATGCAATTCTCACACACGTGCTTATTCCTGTTATAGGGTTCATACAGGTTTTCTACGGTATATATACATATATATGGGGTGATATGTAGTACCTGCAACGTAGCTTTCTGGTGGTTTTCAAGAAACCCACTCCTCAAGGACTGTTGTCTTGAAATCAAGTTTTGAGCTTTCAGGTCTATATGTCAACCCCGCACAGGCCTATCCTCCTAGAATACCCTCCATATATATGTATATATACGTAGAAATTGTAAACTCGGCCCTACAAAGCCTAGAAACCAGAACCTCGCCCCAAACCCAGCTCTTTCCAAGCATCCTGTCTAAGCTGAAGAAATCATCCCAGGTTGGCCCTTGTCACACTTCTCAATACGAGAGACGATTGCTTGGTCTGGATTGGGCAAAAATGCGCAAGTTTTTGCGCCATGAATGTTGGCACAAGTGGGAGGTCGATAATATGCGGCTTGGGGAACACGAACTTCCCGAGTGTGGAGCAAGCAAATTTGATGATGGCCCGGAGACTAGGATTATTAAGGATGAGGGTTGCGTTTAGTCGGTCTGGGCTACTTAGGCAGTATTTCAATATGTTCGAAGCAAGCTCAGGACATGCTTGATTATATACGTGGCGCAGGCGATGGGGCTTCTATGGATATTAGAACAGCCCAAGGGGTCTACAGCAGAGTACCATCATCGATTCCGGGACATGCGCCATTACCTACCGGTGCTGCCCTTTGTTGATTGTATTCTACGAAATTCCAGTAGATGAACTCTCAAAGTCTGTCCTTCTTGGTAAAAAGGGTCTTATATCAGTCATACGAACTTAT